AAAAACAGGTAAGTAAAATGTTTGGTGTGCTAAACACTGCATGCTACACAATTATGTGCTAATGCGTAAAACAACACGTTACAAATTGAATGTTAAAACACCAAGTGTGCTAAATGTTTATATGGTAAATACACAGATTTTTGCATCTTTAATGCATTTTATTTTGCTAAAATCGAAATTTTTTGTTTTAACAAATAATTAGTAAAAAAAAACATACAAAATCTTAATAGAAATAAAATAAAATAAAAAACGTGCACCTTTAATTTTTGAAAGTTTTAACAAATACTGAGGCAAAAAAAAGATCTTAAAAAATCATAAAATTCAAATAAAACTAAATCTAAAACATGCATCTCTAGTCCATTTTTGTGGAAAAAATTCTCAACCTTTGGAATTTTAACATAAGGAGTCAAAAAATGATATTAAAAATAATAATAGAATTAAAATAAAACTCAAAATCGAAAATGTGCATCTTTAATACATTTTTGAGCAAAAATGTCAACTTTTGGATGTTTCAACAAATAATGAATCAAAAATGATGTTAAAATTCCTAATAGAATTAAAATAAAACTACTAATCCAAAACATGCATCTTCAATCCATTTTTGTGCAAAAGAAAATTCTCAACTTTTGGAAGTTTTAATGAATAATGGTTTTAAAATAATAACAACAACAATAATAGAATTAGTTTAATAGAATTAAAATAAAACTACAATAATATTAGTGAATAGAATTCGTTGAATATAATTAAAATAAAACTACAATAATATTAGTGAATAGAATTCGTTGAATAGAATTAAAATAAAACTACAATGATATTAGTGAATAGAATTCGTTGAATTAGAATTAAAATAAACTACAATAATAGAATTGAATATAATTTGTTGAATAGAATTAAAATAAAACTACAAATCCAATTTTGTTCACCACATATGAGTCACCAAGGCAGTTCATTTTCTGTCACATGACAGGTGATCTCAGCTTGGCCAGCACTAAATTCTCCTTTAGTATTTCACTGCCCTGATCTGTAATATCAAAGCAGGCCTTGCCTTTCTCTAAATGCATTTTAATATCTGTAATTGCGAATCTGGCACGATCCCAACACCCTGCTCTGGACGTAACGACATGAGTGGAATATCAATGTGGGCCGCTCCTGAGAGAGAGACAGACGGGTCAGAGCGGAGCTGTCACTTGCAGCTCCGTTGCACTGGCAGAATTTGTCTTAGGCGGCGTCGGTCCAGTGCCTGTAATTAGGGGGGAGCGCGTTCACATCAAACGGCCCTGCCACAGCGATAGGGTCACCGGGGGTCACGCAGAAACCAGCTCTCGACACGCCAGGCCCCGTTTCATCTGCTGACTTCAAAACAACTTTCAGCAGCATCAAAGACAGAGATCGAGATGCTGATCACGTCTAACAGCACAGAAATAAAAAAGAGAGAGACGGATAGAGGGAGTGATGGAGATAGATAGATAGATAGATATCTGTGACAAAGAATCACAAATGACAGAGACATCTATGTATGTCAGAATACACAGGGTACACTTACATACATACATTAACTATATACTGTATATAGTTATAGTTATATTGGCTAAGTGGCTTTATTATTATTATTTTTAAAGCCAAGTATAGCCTTATTAAGCATGCAGGGTTCTATACACTTATTTTTTTATTTATATATATTTCTAGCACTTGTACATGCATTTACACTACACTTACAAATTGCATAAATAATGTTATGAGAATAATGTTTTAAATATAAAGTTGATATAAAGAAATATGAAATGGTAGGGTAAAAAATAGAATGATACTTTTAAATATGAAACAAAAATTGCCAGTAGGTGGCGGCAAGCCACAGTCTTAATAAGCAAGTCGCTGAGTCATTTATTCAATCGATTCTTTCGGAACGGCTGATTCAATCAAGAGCGAAGTAGGTGCATCCAAAATCGCATACTTATGCACTATACTATGACGTTTTGTAGTATAAATAGTGCGAGTAGTGTGTTCACTCTGAAAATTCCAAATAGAAAAAGTGCACTTTAAATACCCGGATGATGCACTTAACCGAAAAAATGAAGTGTTGAATGTTGGACACTTCATGCATAGATATGTATAGGTAGATGCGACAGCTCCACAGCGGAACCATAAATATGTAAGGATTGTGGCATCTTCGAATATTAATTGATTATTATGGTGAATGACGTCAAGTTGACCGGACGGCTTACGTATAGCGGTCCATAGGAACAATTGCTAATGAGGCATCTACGTATACTATGACGTCATGCACTCAACTGTCACAGCTTTAATTATGTAGCGGGCGGGGAGGGGCTATCAGACTCCATTTATGAATGACAAAATAACCTTATATAATTCATACACTACATGGTTGAGTACATAGTGCATAAGTACATAGTGTATGAGTGCCTAGTAGGGATGTGCCTGAATAGTGAATCTGAATTTGGAAAAGCACAGAAAACGAATAACGTGTTCTACGGAGCCACTAAAGGGACATGGTTAGCAGTAGCAGTAGCCTGTTACATTACAGTACATACAATTTCAATTACCACATAAATAGAGTAAGGAGAGATGACTGATAGGACGATGGCGAATGATGTGCAGATCCTGAGCACCACTGACAAAAATCTAATCTTGTGAAATGTGTGGTAAGTACTGTTGCTCCATAGTATACACAGAGTACGTGTGATCGTGAATCTCGAAAGTGAAAGTAAAAAGTGAGCGCGCATTCAAAAGCGATTTCAGTGCTCCCGCATATTAATAGCGGCTTCCTGATGCCTGCCGTTTATATACAGTATAATTACTCAACGATATACTTGTGAGAGAAAGTGAACTTGTGAATATATTTTTTTCCTCCCATCTCGTATTTATTCCCTTTAGGGCTTCCGTAGAACACGTTATTCGTTTTCTGTGCCTTTGCGAATTCGGATTCACTATTCGGGCACATCCCTAGTGCATAGTGTATAGTGTAGGGGTGTCAAACTCAATTCCTGGAGGGCTGAATTTAGGTTCAACCCTAATTAAACACACCTGATCCAACTAATCAAGTCCTTCAGGCTTATTTGAAAACTACATGCTATGTGTGTTGGAGCGGAGTTGGAACAAAACTCTGCAGGGCTCCGGCCCTCCAGGAATTGAGTTTGACACCCCTGGTATAGTGCGTCATTTGGGACGTAGCTAGTGTTTTCATGAATGAATCAGTGAATCATCGACTCACCCGATTTGTTCAAAAACTCCTTCATTAAGCAAACACCGCTCAACATGGCTTTGTTTGGAAACATTTTTGTTTAGCGAAACAGAGCAAAACAGACAATATTGTCTCTACAATTTGAATTGAATTGTTGAAACAGACAGTTTGAACTCATTAATAGAAGTTAATCAAATTATTTTTCCCTACAGATTTTTGGTTAAGTGTTTTAACTTTTCGTTAACGATTCGTTGAAATGAATTAAAACTCGAACTGAATGCGCATGACTCTCAGTGCCTCTCATGAATCATGTCTTGTCCTCCGAACGAGTCTATTTATTCAAAGCACTGTCATAACACACTACTTCTGTCTTTAGCAGCAGCTTTATTTCCCGCGTTCTGTTCTATTGAGGTGTAGCTGCGCATGTTTGATACCCGTCACGCTTGGGTTAAAGTAATCCTCACTTACTAACTAAAGACGATATACAGCAGGTAATGAGCGCATGTGTCATTTCACATCTCTTCAGTTCGGCAGCTGTGTCTCGAAATATCTCAGAGCGTAAGAGGATTCATAACTTTATGAACAGAGTTTGTGTGCGAGTGTCACGGCGGCGTGCGCGGTGCATTATGGTATCTACAGTGGCGCCAAACAAATCCTGACTGACATTTCATTTTAGTTGTGCGAAACAATTAGCCTATAATTTAAAAGCCTAATTGGGTTTTAATCAGATAAAGCCACATTAAGAGCAGCTAAATGTCAATGAGGCTTCGATTTGACAAAACAACTCTCAGCCGGATTAATCTTCTTACCTCGGAGATTCATGGTATTTTTCATAATGGTTTATTTTTAATGGCGCTGGTCTCCAAAAAGCTTTTAATCTGTTTGAATGTGATCATTTGAAATGAATAAACAGCAATTTACTGACCTCTGAACTTCAGAAAATGACTTTTCAGAAAACAATTTATAAAAACGCCACATTTTCAAGAGCAAAAGCTTGTTATAGGCCAATTGATTTCCTTGACCTTTACAGTTGTTTGTGATTACTGCATAAGGTTTTGAAGAACCATTTAGATTACATGGGGAAATCAACTAATTTGTGAACTGGTTCAATTGATTCATTACAAAGAACTAATTCAAAAGAATAATTATACAAATTGTATTCAAGAACAAAAAGAATCAATTCAAAAGAATACTACAAACTATATACAAGAGCAAAACCTAGCCAAATACACACACACATTTTATTTAATGATAATTATTACTACATTCAAGAATTTTTTTTCTGTATTATTTAAACCAGGTTTTTCATGGCTTTCCCAGAAAAATAAACAGTCAAATACAAAGCACAGTTTCACTTCACATTTTATTACAATCTTTCCTAGTACTTCTGCACAGATAAACATTTGCCATCATCAGTATGCAAGCTGTGGTGGGTTATTTCATTAAACCTGCCTTTCATGACGTTTCTGTTAATGCAAAGCAGAAACCCCAGGAACAGAGGAGTACAAATGCCATCGACACACTGCACGTCTACTGTCAGAGCGGCTGTAGGCATTACTGGTGTGTGGAAAACAACAAACGGTGATGAGACGAGAGCGGTGGTTGTCACATTAAAAGGAAGGGGAGAGGATGCGCTTGCGAAGTTCAAACCTCAGTACGCACTTCCTCCCTAAAGATGTTATCTTAGAGGTGTAATTCAAATGTTCTTATTAAAAAAAAGTCAAAATCAAAGCGGGAGGAATAATAATATGAAAAAGGGGGAAAAAATCATGATGTACGAGAAATATATATATATAAAAAAAGAATTAAATTTTCTGCAATTATTTTTTAAAATAATGCAATAATGAATGCAATTAATCATTTTCGAAATGTCTATTAAATGACAAAACTTCATTTGTTGGCATTTCCTTTCATTAATTTACTTTTAATTAATTTACAATCCTCCAAAATCTATGGCATGCTAAAGCAAGTGAATGACTATTCACATCTGAAAATGTGATGTGGCTCTTTCAGTTTAATGAATGAGGTGGAGCGAGGGATTGTGGGAAGGGTCGAAAGAGTGCGGCATCCCCCAAGGCTATGTACTGGGTCTGTTTTGACTTCAGTCTATAACGACAATCCTGTCTGTAAAGGTCTTATCCAAGTGTTTGTTTCCAAATTAATCTAGGGTGCACTGGATCAAATTCTCAGTGCTATTTGGATGATGAATCCGCAAGTACCGGTGAACGAGGCGTGCCGATTGATAATCGCTCACGTCAGAAGACGAAACAACAAGGATGGGCAAACAACAAAAAGGAGAAAACAAATCCGAAGCGACAACCAGACCCTTTATTTGAATGTGACATGGCATTTGATAAGACTAGGTTACACTGAAGAAAATTTTTCCAATTTGTGAGCAGCACGTCTAGTATGTACACCTCATTGTGGGTCACGTGACCCGGATCGCCCCTCAGTAGTCTAAGACTTCTATAGCACCTTGAGAAGGCAGATTGCGTATCTGTTTAATATCACCTATGACTATACACTTAAATGTACGCCACTTCAACCTCTTGAATAAAAATTATAAATTCAACTTTTTTTTTTTTCATCTTTCGACATTGTGTTGCAAAGATTCACCAAAATAAAAATCAATAAAAATAATAATCATAACAACAACGGTACTCATAATAAAAACAGACACGGTGAATAGTATTCAATATCAACGTCTACCAAGTATGCTACAAAAACAAATCATCTGGTGCTGAAAAACATTTTATCGTAGATTATAGAAGAATACATGAACCCGCGCAAATCTATCGTAACACAGTTGTGTACGGTAACTGAAAACTGTAGCTTCTGATGCTGCCATAATTGATTTTCTTTATACAAGTATTAAATCTTTATGTGACAAAAGACATTTAAATACTTATTAAATTCCATGAGCCCGGCTAAAACTCTTCCTGTGACCCCCCCACCCGAACACTTGAGTACAGAGAAAAATACCTGAAACTGTACAGATATAGACTGTCTATGTGATCTGTGACCGGGTAGCATGTTTTGGCTTGAGTTAGAAAAATATTTAGCACTCATTAGAGAAAAAAATCAGGTATAAAGTAAACCGCACATACAGTGAATGATTATCCCATCTGAAAATGTATGGCGGCTCTTTCCGTTTAGTGAAAGAACCGGAGCGAGGGATCGTGGAAAGGGTCGGAAGAGTGAGGCATCCCCCAAGGCTATGTACTGGGTCCGTTTCGGCTTCAGTCTATAATGACACGCATGCGTCCCACGCGCACCGTTCATGGGTGGGAGACTCGGATTAGCACAACAGCGAATAAATGAAACAAAGACATGCAGTAGATGAATTTAAAGTCTGTATGTGTTGACGAATAGCTGGTAGCGCAAAGTGGCGCTTCAATACATCGGCTCAACACCTTGTTCCTCTTCTGGAGGAAAGTCCGAGTTGAGGAGAGACTCCATGTAGGCTACGTAGCTGGAGCTATGGGTGTAACTCTCGCTGGGTTCCGGGGCAGGAAGTGTGGGTGCTGAAACAGGAAGTGAGGTGGGGGGAGGCAGGCAGGGGGCAGTGCTGGTGTTTGGAGTAATACTAGCGGGCAGGAAAGCGGTGACTATTTCTGGAGGTTGTGCCGAGGGCTCAATGGCTAGTATTGGCGGCGGTGTCGGCAGACGTGGACGTTTCGCGGCCAGAGGTTCATCTGACGGTTGCGCCTGAGGTTGCTGTTGGTTCACACTTGCCTGTTGAAAAGAAAAAAAAAGACAATTATCATTTAGTGACGTCAATCAGAGCTCTCCAAATGGGCTCCAACTAGGGGTTGACTGATACCATTTTTTTCCGATACCAGCATAGTTTTTTTTAAATTAGTGTAGAATTTCCATACCTCAATGTATGTTGACCTGATCATCACTTTTTTTGTGTGTTAAACACAATCTACTAAATACAGGCAACTTAATTTTAAAGAAAGATAACAAATGAAAAAATATATAATCATAATCTATGACAAAAATACTATTATAAACTAGGTTAGTGGATAATTCAGCAGCAAAAGTTACTCTAGAAAAATCATGAGGGCACAATAATTTTATAAAATCTAAACATTTAGTGAAAAAAACATTATTTAATGGGGAACAATTAAAAGTGTAGGACTAAATCTGGTAAAATTTTGCACATTGCTCTTTGTATTTTTGTAAAATACATTCATGAAAAACAAGTAAATATATTTATATATAAATATATAATATAAAATTAAAAGACATTTCTTTTAAATGTACAGCACAGTAATGAGGCAGCGACATATGATAGATTGGACAGAACAAGAAAAGCTATTAATAATCTTTCATTGTGCAAAAATATTACAATATGAAAGGCTCCAATACGGAGCGGCACAAAGCTCTTATGCTCATCCCGCGCGCTGAATGATGCGCTTGAAGCTAGGCCTGTCATGACAACAACTTTTTGTTGTGTGATATATTGCCCCAGAAATAATTGCCATAAGCGATATTATTGTCATTTTAAAAACCATTTTATGCCACTGAATATATAATCATAATATAACAACATAATAATGCAAGAAGGCCTACACACTTCCAAATGACAACAAACTTAAAATTTTTAAGAATATTTAGATGAAAATTGGAAATTAAGTATCAAAATATTAGATACCTTAAAAAACCTGAATAAATAGTAAATAAAAATTTTCTAACAAAAAGTGCAAAGTAACAAGTAGAAAAAAGAAAAATGCACAAAGAACTTGTATGGAGATTTTTCCATCTACAGAGTTTTCCCTGACCTTCTTTTCTCTGTAAATGAAGGGTGCACACTATTGCTGAAAAACACGATCACTACTTCAGGATTCAGATGTCCGTATGCACAAAGACACAGATCTCTAAACAAGACCATATCTGCAGATGAAACTAGCAGCTCTACACCACGTTATGTACGAGAAGCTGCAAAAGACACAGGCGCAAGTGGAATGCACAAAACATGGTGACATTAATTTTTAAGTAAATATAATGGGCGATATATTGCGTCACCAAAAAGTATTGAGGTCATGTACATATATTGTGCGATAAGTCGATATATTGATTATCGCAACAGGCCTACTTGAAGCAACACAGAGTCACAGTGCCCAGCACTTTGCATAGAAAAAGTTCAAAGCGCAAAGAGAAGAGATATTGATGCATAGTGTATTATAGCTGTGCAATAGTTTATTGAGCCTTTTCTTTGAACAGTTTTAAATTTCAGTTAAAAGAAAGCATACTCTGCTTTCTTTTTTCCATACTCCTCCAGACCTGGAAATTGCTTAAATCAAATTCCATACTTTTCCAAACTGCGTAGGAACCCTGAATATTGGATTTGGATCGGTCTCGTCTGACCGCTACCCGATCCGGCAGAAAATGGCAGCATCGGAGCCGATACCGATAATCAGATCGGCATACCTTCAGCTCCAACTGCACTGCTAGCTTGATAAACCTTCTAGTTGACAAACACGAAAGCCATAAAGTGTTAAACCTGCACTTTGACATCACGTTGATGAATTCTGTGTGCAGAAACATACAGTACTCGGCCTGAAGCAAATAAAAGCGCTTACCAGACGAGACATGACCCTCTTGGGCAGCTCATGGTCCAGAGAGTGAATCTCGCTGCGCTTCAGTAAGATCTGCGTCTCGTCCTGAAACTCCACCTGGAAGGAAATACAGTTTAGACGCCTTAGATTCTTTTCTTGGAACCACTTTTTTAAAAAGCGATCCAAATTTAGAAAAACCACTAGCATTGTTTCGGTTCGCTCAGCAGCCATCTTACTAACATTCTTGGGAAACAATTTTCCAATTATACATGTAGAAAATAGATATATTAAATATTTATATTTATTTATATAAATAAATATTTATTAATATATATATATATATATATATATATATACACACACACATTAAGCGTATAGTCATGTCATATATATATATATATATATATATAATATTAAAATTATATTATTCATTACGTAATGTAGGGCACATGTCCTGACAATACATTGATCTACAATAATTTACTTCTGTAATGTTGTTAATAGAGCTGTAAAAACTGCATTTAACCTGAAATATTCCTTTATTTTTGATCTGAAGAACATCCAACAACAACATAAGTTGCAAACTTTCAACCAGTCTGCAATCAACACCCTATTCCAGATCAATTCCCAACGGCTTCAAGACCTGTCAGACATACAGGCATCCAGTTACAGATCGCCCGCGGCGGGTGGGAGAGCGCTTGGCGTGTCTAGCAAAGGTAAAAGTGACGTCATGAAAGCGATCGGCGCTTGTTACGAGAGCCATGACTCACACGGATCTAATAAATAATGGAGTCTTGTGGTGGAGGAGAGAATCAAGAAGTTCGCTAATGCTGACAGAGGAGTCTCTCAAGAGCTCAGCCTAGCAAGGAAACACTGTGTGTGTGTGTGTGTGTGTGTGTGTGTGTTTGGGTTTTAATGAGAAAGAATCTGACGTGAAGCAAAACTAGTTCATTCAATGTGTCAAACAATGTATTACCACAGTTTGGTAAGCCAAAAAAACGGAAAAAAGCATGTTCGATTTAGCTTTCTGGTAGTTTTCTGAGTCACTTTTCCATCAAAATGTGACCCAAATGTAAAGAAAAACATCGGCCCGTCGCTGCACAAGCACTTCCTGTGAGGAGCGGCGCATGTACGTGAAATAGCAGATGAATGGCGGTCTACTCTCGCCGCCTGTGGTCCATCACACCTCATAAGCTTCATCTACAGACTCCATAAATCCCCCATGCGCCACATCATCCTAGTTTTCTCATTTTCCCATTAATCTCGCCTCCCTTCCACTCAACATGTCAGCGGCTCCTCTGTGTACGAGGAAAGCAAACTTTGCACCAAATGTGGGACTCCTGAAAGACTCGGATAAGATGGGGAATCACAAGGAAATTGAAGTTGAAAGATGTAGGTTTCTAACCTAAAAATCAGATGTCACTGAGGCGCTCTCCTGATCTGAATTATATACAAGTAAAATAAACACTATACTCAACATAATTACAAATTATTTTATTAAATAGTTACTGATCTAGTACTGATCTAACCCAAAACTGAATCATTTCGGACAGAATAATTAAAAAGATCCGCTTCATATGAGTCACTGATTCACAGATTGAACAGCTCTGGTCACGCTGTATGTTTATTTGTTTGCTGTTTGAAGACGTGCTGCACTTTGCAACATCCATTTAATATCCATTCAAAAAGTAGTTTGGCTTGAAACAGATTACCAAACCAAGTCTTAAAATAGTCACAAAATGGGAGATAACACAAATAAAACTGAAAGACATCACAGTTACCTGGTAGTATCGGTGGACGTGTTCCTTGACGTAAGACGCGTTGAGAACTCGTCCATCGATTGTCTTGACCACCACGAGTTCGCCCAGTTCTGGAGGGCCGTTCCTCAGGCAGTCGTGACTCTGAGACAGAGAAATCAAAGAGATGATGGATCAAACGGACAGTCGTAGCTCTAAAATCTGATTGGATGAGCCAAATTAATGTGTTAAAAACAATTGGCAACCATAACAAGCTATAGTTGGATTTCAATCAATCTAGATTTCAACCAGTCAGCATCCAGGACCTGGCTTTTAGACAGCAATAAGCCACAAGATGACATGCGTCAGTTTTTTTTTTCGTGATTAAGGAGGTTTTAGCAACCCAAATCTCTAGAATCTGGTTGGATGAGTCAAATGAATGCGCCAAAGTGTGGAAGCCCGTTTCCTCCACTGAATGAATAAAAAAATAAAAATTTAATTAAAAAAAAGAGTGAATTTCTCTCGCAATTCAGACTGTTTTCCTCGCAATTGTGAGTTTATATCTCGCAATTCTGCTTTTTTTTTCTAGCAGTTCTAACTTTTTTTCTCGGAATTGCGAATTTATATCTTGCAATGTGGACTTTTTTTCTTCGCAACTGCGAGTTTCTATCACAATTCCGACTTTCTCTCGCAATTCTGACTTTTTTTTTTTCTCCTCAACTGCAAGTTTATATCTCACAGTTCTGACTTTTTTCTCCTTGCAGTTCTATCTTTTTCTCAGAGTTTTGAATTTATATCATGCTATTCTGATTTTTTACTCACAATTCAGACTTTTTTCTCCCCAACTGCAAGTTTATATAGCGCAATTCAGACTTTTATTCCTTGCAGTTCTAACCTTTTTCTTGGAATTGCTAATTTATATCTCGCAATTCTGAATTTCTCACAACTGTGAGTTCATATCCCGCAAATCTGACTTTTTTGCTTCATATGAGTCACTGATTCACAGATTGAACAGCTCTGGTCACGCTGTATGTTTATTTGTTTGCTGTTTGAAGACGTGCTGCACTTTGCAACATCCATTTAATATCCATTCAAAAAGTAGTTTGGCTTGAAACAGATTACCAAACCAAGTCTTAAAATAGTCACAAAATGGGAGATAACACAAATAAAACTGAAAGACATCACAGTTACCTGGTAGTATCGGTGGACGTGTTCCTTGACGTAAGACGCGTTGAGAACTCGTCCATCGATTGTCTTGACCACCACGAGTTCGCCCAGTTCTGGAGGGCCGTTCCTCAGGCAGTCGTGACTCTGAGACAGAGAAATCAAAGAGATGATGGATCAAACGGACAGTCGTAGCTCTAAAATCTGATTGGATGAGCCAAATTAATGTGTTAAAAACAATTGGCAACCATAACAAGCTATAGTTGGATTTCAATCAATCTAGATTTCAACCAGTCAGCATCCAGGACCTGGCTTTTAGCAATAAGCCACAAGATGACATGCGTCAGTTTTTTTTTTCGTGATTAAGGAGGTTTTAGCAACCCAAATCTCTAGAATCTGGTTGGATGAGTCAAATGAATGCGCCAAAGTGTGGAAGCCCGTTTCCTCCACTGAATGAATAAAAAAATAAAAATTAAATTAAAAAAAGAGTGACTTTCTCTCGCAATTCAGACTGTTTTCCTCGCAATTGTGAGTTTATATCTCGCAATTCTGCTTTTTTTTTTCTAGCAGTTCTAACTTTTTTTCTCGGAATTGCGAATTTATATCTCGCAATTCTGCTTTTTTTTTCTAGCAGTTCTAACTTTTTTTCTCGGAATTGCGAATTTATATCTTGCAATGTGGACTTTTTTTCTTCGCAACTGCGAGTTTCTATCACAATTCCGACTTTCTCTCGCAATTCTGACTTTTTTTTTTTCTCCTCAACTGCAAGTTTATATCTCACAGTTCTGACTTTTTTCTCCTTGCAGTTCTATCTTTTTCTCAGAGTTTTGAATTTATATCATGCTATTCTGATTTTTTACTCACAATTCAGACTTTTTTCTCCCCAACTGCAAGTTTATATAGCGCAATTCAGACTTTTATTCCTTGCAGTTCTAACCTTTTTCTTGGAATTGCTAATTTATATCTCGCAATTCTGAATTTCTCACAACTGTGAGTTCATATCCCGCAAATCTGACTTTTTTTCTTGCAATTGCGAGTTTATATCATGCAATTCTGACTTCTTTTCTCAGAATTGTGACAAACTCACAACAGCATATAATAAAGTCAGAATTGCGCAGATATAAACTCACATTTCTGAGAAATTAAGTCAGAATTGTGATATATATAAGCTTTTTTTGAGTTTACTTATTTTGAGTATCTCGCAATTCTGAGAAAAAGTCAGAATTATGAGTTTATATCACAATTCTGAGCAAAAAAACTCTGAATGGTGAGATGTAAACTTGCCACTTGGCAACCATGATTTTTTTTTTTCTTAAATTCTAGATTTCCAGCAGTATCCAGGACTATGCATTTTATAACGCAATACACCACAAGAGGCTGTATGTTACAGTGCATGTACTAAACTAAAAACCACTGTAAATCCCTAAAAAGTGACTATTTGTTGGCGTCTCACCAGCAGGTTCTCTGGGAAGATGTTATCACAGTAGGAGCCGTCGTCAAAGTTGACCTCAAAGTAGTTTTGCGTGCCAATGCCGGTGATGGTGCAGCGGTAGAACCAACCGTTGCTGCTCCTGCCGATGACCTCCTGACCCAACGACAGCTCGCGCGAGCCGCTTTTAACCTGCGGCGGAGGCAAACCGTCAGTTTGAGGATCACCGTGTGCATTAAGATCCCTTCTATAGCGGCTACGCACCTTCTGATTGGTCTTTTTGTGTTTGTGGCAGGTGACGGACACCACGTACGGCCAATCGGCCGGTTTCATGACGACTCCGGCGAGGAGGGCGCAGGTGACGTGGAAGGACGTGGAGCAGTTGTCCAACGAGCACTGGATACACGCGCCGAAGATCTGCTTGGTCGTCTTGTGGCAGTAGACACACTTCTGCAAATCGTAACAAGGAAATGTTAACAAGAAAAAAAACTGAAAGAAACAACATAAGAATGAACCAAAAAAGGCAACAAAAAAAATGGAATAACCAAACAGAAACAGGGAGAACAAAGCAATGAATTAGCGAGAAAAAAAAACTAACTAAAACATTAACTAATTCAAAAGCAGAAGCCAAAACAAGAACAAAATGAAAGAAAACAGACAGCATAAGAAACTAAGAATGAAAGAAAAAACACAAACAAAAGAACAGACTAAAGAAATAGAAACAGAAAGAACAAACAAATAAAAAACTAATGAAAACAACGAATGAAAAGAAAAAAATAGAGAAGAATGAATGAAAACAAGAGTAGAAAAGGAAACAAAGGAAAACAAACAGCAAAAGAAACAAAAAAAGAAAGACAAAGCACATGCAAAAGAATTAAAGAACGGAGTAAAGAAATAGAAAAACAAACAAAACAAATATTTGAATAAATGAAAACAAAAGTAAAGAAGGAAAAAATGAAACAAATAGAAACAAAAGAAAACGAGAACAACAAACACATATGAATGAATGAAAACAAAAGTGGAGAAGAAACAAAACAAAGAAAATAGAGAAAAGATTGTAGGAAACCAAAAGTAGAAGGGAAACAAACTAAAAGAAAGGAACAAAAAAATGGAGAAAAGAAACAATGATCAAATTAAATAAAAATGAATTAAACAAACAGCAAAAGAAATGAAGGATAGAAACTACATGAAAAAGAATGAAAAAACAAATATAAGTACGAATGAACAAAAGTAGAAAGGAAACACAGTAAAACAAAACAAAGAAACAAAAAATAGAGAAAAGAATGAAACAAAACAAATGCAAGAACAAAACTAAAGAGAACAAAGTAAAAAAGAAATAATGAAAGAATAAAAGAACATGAAAACAAATGTAGAAACCTAACGAACTGAAGAAAAAAACCGAACAAAAAAAATAGAGAAAAGAATGAAGGACAGAAATAGTGAAAGAACTGAAAAACAAAGTCAAGAAACAAATTAAGATTGAACAAAAAGAAGAAAAGTCCAAATGAAATTAAAAAAAAAACACAAGAAACAAAAGAGAACAGAAACAACAACACAAACAAACACCAAGCAAATGAACAAGAACGAACGAAAAACTAGACATTTAGTAATAAGATATTAAATGAGAAAAAGGCCGTTTCACACCAGAATGTGGCCTGAGTTTGCGAAGTCAATGCTAAGCAGCTATTTGGCTTTTGGCTAACATTATTTTCACGTGTCAGCTGAAAACGAAAGTCATTTCAAGAGCGCAGCAGCAGCAGCTCCGATGAAAGATTACAAAGATGAACATTTACTAATAAAGTGAATGGAAACATTCCCCGTGTCTCTCCTCTTCTCCTGCGTTTCCGCATAAATCGCCTCCAAACGCACACACATACACACACAGACAGATATCGACAGGTATAAAAATTCTTTATTAAATTGTCAATACTTCATTTCAGCCTCCTGTGGCCAAGCGGCCATAATGTACGACGGCCTTTCGATGAGGCGCCGGCTCAGAAATATTTCATCGGCCGGTGAAAGCCTCTGATTTATCATTCGCCAGGGATTGATCGCAAGACAGGCCAATGGACAAGAGAAGGGGAAAAAATACGTGATTTATGAGCATCGAGCTCTCAGTTATTCATTCATACATCAAGAGCCGGCAGATAAAGCGGCCTCCTTTTAATCTACAATATGACGCCGTTTCTTGTTCTACAGTGAAACTAAATGTTTGGTGTTCATTCGTTACTGCACTGATTTCCAGCAAACCTGGGTTTTTCTGCTTGCTAAAGGCGACTGGTAGCGCAAGTCAGCTGTATGAACAGTACGAGAGGTTTATGAGTCTCGCCGAAGCACGTTTTTCACGTCATCATGTGCTGAAGCTGCTCTGGGTTGTGTATTTGTCAGCACAAATGCATTGAGCAGCGTTCAGACGCGTGGCGGAGGAGGAGAAACCTGCCTATATAATCAATGCAGCTCATTTAGCACAGTGAGGAACGACACCTGATTATTCAGCCATTGCACATCATTAATAATGCATCATATCCTCTGAGAAAGAGAGAGGGAGAACGACAACGATAAAACATGAAAATACAAATGAAAGAAAAAACAGAGTAAAGAAAGCGTGAAAGAACGAAAAAGGCAAAAGAAAGAAACTAAATAATGAACAAAGAAAAAAAAGAAAACACAAAATAATGAATGAGAAAAATGAATGAATTGATGAAAAACTAAAGAAGTCAAAAACAAAAAAATATAAATGAAAGAATTAGAATAATGAATGAAACAAGTGAGAAATTAAAGAACGAATGAATGAAAGAAAGACAAAAGCAAGAAACAAACATGAAAGAACAAATTAAGCAAAAAAAATTTACTAAAAACTGAAAAAAAATATATACCATGAATGAATGGAAAGAACAAAATGAAAGAAATAATGAAAGAAACAAGCACACAAACAAAATAAAAAGAAACAGAAAAAAACAAAAACTTAAGTAGATAATAAAATTAAACTTGAATAAAAAAAGAAAGAAAAAGAAATAACCAAAGAAACAAGCACAAACAAAAGCAAAAATAAAGAGAGAAAATAAAGAGAAACAAATTAGAAAAGAAATAAAAAGCACAAACGAAAGAAGAAGAAAAATTGACGGAAAGAAACAGAAACAGTGAATGAAAAGAAACAAAAGAATGAACGAAAAATTAACAAAGAAACTAAAAGTATAAAAATACCAACAAAAGAACAAAAAGAAAAAAAACAATCTAAGAAAAAAAACAAAGAAAAGGCCATAAAGTAAAACAATAAACAAATGAAAGCGAAGTGAAAACAATACAAAATTAAATTAATTAAATTAAAGTAAAAAGAACAAACGAAATAAAGAAATCATTAGAGAAAAAACACAAGCAGCAAACAACAAAAAAATGAATGCACAAATGAAAGAACAGAAAGAACGGAAGAAACGGAGAACAAACAAAAGAATGAACGAAAAATTTACAAAAAAAAAAACCTAAACTAAAACAAACTACTTTACAAAGTAAAGTAAAAAAAACAAAAGAATGAAAAAATTAAAACAAAGAAAAAACAAATAAAGAAAGAATGAACAAAAAAAAATCTAAAACACAAATGAAACGGAAACAAACAAGTGAAAAATTTACAAATGAACAAAAATTAAGAAAAAAAACAGAAAAGAGAGAAAACAATGTAAGAAAAACACAAATGAAACAAGCTAATTAGTAATGAACAAAAAACAAAACAAAAGCACAAACGAAACAGAACAAACTAACGAAACATTTACGAATGAACTAAAACAAAAAAGTAAAAAACGAAAGAAAAATTTTTTCAAAAGAAAAATAAACTAAGCTACAATATGAACAAAAAATAAAGACCGAAAGGGAAAAGCAATAAACAAAAGCACAAACACAAAAATGTAAAAGACGAACATCTACAACAGAACAAACCAAAGGAGGCTCAAACGAGCGAATGAACAAACATTTTTTATTTTGAAATTTTAAAACATCACGTGGTAAAATAACGAGGAGGAGTGTGGTTTCATCCTGACTCACCAGACTCTTCCTGGGGTCGGGGACCGCCGTCACGTCCACAGGCTCTCGCTCCACAGCGTTAACGAAACGAGCCTCGGCCACAGCGACGGCGCAAATCACGTGAACCCACCTGCGGACGGGACACCACACGCACGGTTACTGCAGAGCTCGTTTGATAAACATGCATGAACAGATGCCGCGGATCTCCTCGTAATTAACATGCGATATGAGAGAAACAGGGTTTGAGATATTAGACCTGTCATCTGTGGTTTTCTTCAAAGCTCCTCCTCTTAAACTGCACAAACAGCAGGCCTGCGACGAATAAACAACTCGAATGAACACAATCATGAGCACAACGGTTTAACGCAACAGTAAATGTGCCATACAGAGGTTCAACGTTCACATTTCTGCTCAAGACTTGCATGTGAACAGTCATTTTTAATATCAATGATTTTAACTGATCCATGTTCGCGTGAAAGCTATTTGCGATACTTACGGCTGTCCATTCGGCCGCAGCGCACCGAGAACACATCCAGCCCTCCTGTTTCGTGTCGGGATTGACGCCGTAACAGCCTGACGGAAACGAGAACAGAAACTTAGCTGTCTATGAACCAAACTGATAAATGTACGTTCGTATTTAATTATCTATTAAACAGACTGTGTACGTTATTTACAAAGATAAACAGTTTCTGTAATTTCCATCAAAAACAACTTTGATGTGACAAAAATGAACGAAGAATGAAAGAAAATAAGGAAGGAAGAAGGAACAAAGCGAAACAAAAAAAAAAAGCTGAAAAAGTAAAAATGTAAAATGAAAAAATTTAAAACAAAAGTAAGCGAAGCAGAAAATGTAATTACTAAAATAAACGAAAAATAAGGAAAAAGTAAATGAAAAAAGGACAAAAGATATAGAACAAACAAATGAGCGAAAAAAGTAAAAACTAAAATATTTTAAATATATTGTGTACGATTTTTAAATGTTTTTCCGTGAAAAAAAAAAGTTAAAACTTGAAAATCTTAAAAAAAAAAAAAAAAAAAAAAAAAAGTTTAATGAACAAGAAACAGAACGAACTGAACAAGTGACAAATTTACGAATTAAAAAAAAAAATATATATATATATATTTGACGACATAAAACTAACGACAGAACAAAATGAAATAATCAACAAAAACAAAGAATGAAGAAAAAAGGCCCAATGTAAGAATTTAAAAACTAAATAAATAGATACAAAAAGAACAAAAAATTAATGAACGATAATAAAAGTAAAAAAAAAACAAACAAACGGAATTAAAATACATTAAAATGTATTGTGTACGATTCAATAAAAAATATAATACATTTAAAAAAAAAAACTGATTTTGTAATTTTTTTTAACTTTCTTAAAACATTTAATGATAAAAAAATGAACAAAATGAAATGCAATAAGAATGAATAAAAGAAAATATAAAAAAAGAAAAACAACGGAGCATAAAACTAACAAATTAATTCAAACAAAAGTAGAACCAAAACAGAAAAAAAACAAATAAAACAAACAAAAACTAAGAAAAAGAACAAACAAAAGCTTAAAAATTTAATACAAAAAAGAATAAACAAACAAATTAACGAAAAATAGTAAAAACAAACAAAACTAAAATATATTAAACAATGTTTGATTCACTAGTGTCTGTTATTTAAAAAAAAAACAACACTTTGTAATTTTCCATTAAAAACATCTTTATCCACCTATATTTAATACGAAAATAATGAAAAGATGAAAGAAAATGAGCAAAAAAACAAGATCATTAAAACAAAATCAAACGAATTAATGACAAAACAAAAGGAAAAACAAACATATTAAACTGTGTATGATTCACTAATGTATGTTACATAAAAAAAAAATAATAATGTAGGCGGGGACAAATAATACTTTTGACAAAAACAATTAAATCACAATGAATAAAATCCTGAATATTGACATTCAGTTGGAAATGCATTGTTACTCAAGCTAAACATGTCTCGAGGCCGTTTCAAGTCATTAATCGTTAAAAATATTTAACATTTTTGGTAACACTTTAGAATAGGGAACACTTATTCACTATTAACTACGACTCTTCCTCAATACATTCCTAATTTGCTGCTTATTAATAGTTAGTAAGGTAGTTGTTAAGTTTAGGTACTGGGGAGGATTAGGGATGTAGAATAAGGCATTATTATTCCATGGTCTGTCTGAATACTGGATTCTGATTGGCTGGCAGGTATGCATATCCTAAATGCATCACTCACACACGCACGCACACACACGCACACACACACACGCGCACACACACGCGCACACACACACGCACGCACACACGCACGCACGCACACACGCACGCACGCACGCACACTCCCTCTCACACACACACACACACACACACGCACGCATGCACGCACACACACACACACTCACTCTCACACACACTCTCACACACACACACACACACACTCACTCTCGCAC